TGGGGTGACGACCTTGGGACCATTTTCTTGTCTCTCTCTCGCTACAGGTTGGCTGAGGGAAAAGGAGGACGCTCCTGTTCCCTCCCCAACTTCCAATCGCCCTTCCCTCCGGTCATAGGGACCTCTCAGTCCAAACCCCCTCGAAACACACCCTTAGGGTGTCTCCTTGCCAATCTCTCGACCCTTGGTCTTTCTGGCTACATCAAACCAAAGAAGTTCTACCTGGCCACAATGTAAACTCGACAATGGCTCTCAGTGGCCCAAAACGGCACTTTCGATTTCAATATCCCCCGAGATCTAGATAATTTTTGCCACCGGACAGGGAAAGCTTTCGAAATCCCTACGAACAGGTTTTATTTCCCCTCTGCTCTCGCCCCTCGCTTTATTCTTCATGTTCCATTCATCAGATCCTCTTCACAAAGTCCTCTTTGCCCTCTCAAACTGATTCTCAGCTCCTTTCTCTGTCTTCTGACCTTTACAACCCTGCCATAGAAACCTGCATCCCACGCTCTACCCTCTGAGACCTCTAACCGCCCGCCTTCCCCTGTGCGCTCTCCACTGAATCTGACCTGACTACCTTTACTCCCCTGACATGCGCAGCAAACTTCCACAAACTCCTCAAGAAGACCTTGTTAATCTGACCTTTAAGGTCTTTAATAATAGAGATGAGGAAACCCATATGCAAAATCAAAGACGAGATCAGGCCAAGGCTGAGGCCCATTAGGAGGCCTTCCAGCTCCTAGCCACTGCTCTCATGAACCCCAAATGAAGTGCCGGTCCTCCAACTGTGGGTAAGTCAGGGGCTAAGCCTCCTCTGGGCCCATGCTTCAAATGCAGCAAGGAAAGACACTGAGCCAAGTCCTGCTCAAACCCAAGACCCCTGCCCGGGCCCTGCCCAAGGTGCGGAAGGGAAAGGCCACTGGAAAGCAGACTGTAGTCTGGCCCTCCGGTCCAGGCCTCAGCCAGTCCAGCATGGCTGCCCTCTGGATCCGGTTTGGAGCTCCCAGACCTCCTGAGACTGGCCACCGAAGAAGCTGCCCAGGCCCCAACAGGGCCCCACAGACTTACACCACCAGGACAGAGCCTCGGGGAACGACTGTGGTGGCAGGTAAGCCAGATCTCCTTTTTAATTGACACAGGGGCCACTTATTCTGCCCTCTCCGAATTCGACCCTTGTCCACTCCTCAGTCTCTATTATGGGGGTTGACGGATTAGTCTCACAGCCATTAGCCACCTCATGGCTACACTGCATCTTACTAAATTCCCCCATTCACTCTTTTCTCATTCTACCTCGGTGCCCAGCCAAGGCTACCATGTATCCCCTCATAAAGCCCAAACCACAGTCACCTACCTCAGTTTCACTGTCTCACCCCACAAGGCTGAGCCATTCCTGGGACTGTAAATGCCTTATCTTCTTATCTCCTCTGTAACTGTCCCCTCCTCTGAAAAAGAAATCTTCTCCTTCCTCAGGCTCACTGGGTAGTCTTGCCTCCAGGTTCACAACTGTAGTCTTCTTGCAAAGCTCCTCTATGACGTGACATGGCGAAGGGACCCTCTCACTGAGCCTTTAGATCCCAAGGCCAACATTCTCACCCCTTTAGTGCTCTGAAAACTGCTCTGACCTCAGGGTCTTCTCACCCTGCTCCCCTCACCCACTCCACCCTTCCCAAAGGAAACTTCTTTGACTCTGAAGGTTTACTCAACAGTCAGGCTACTATCAGAAACTGAGATCGTTATCTCTAGGAAAAATGCGGCAACTTAAAATCCAAGCGGCTAGAGGCGTGGAACAGGCTGCGCGGCCTGCTCCCTCCTCCTCCTGCATTTTCTCCAGCCTCATATACCTATACATAATTTTCCAAAGTCTTTATTAACTTAAAGACTTTGGAGCATTGCTGGGTTAAATGAATTCACCTGCTCTTAGTATGTATACTTTCTTGAAAGTAAGAGAAATACTTAATGCAAGGTTTGAGGCATGGTTATGCATTTTTGAAGGACATAGAAAGGTTTGAAGGCTAATTTGAAAGTGTGACATTTGCGAAGGTTGTGTATGTGATGAGAAGGAAAAAAGAAATGTTGAAAGAAAGAAGTTCTAAATTAACTATTTACAAGAATTATAGAAGGGCCATTTTACTCTGAGCAAGAAAGTGAGGTTTCAGTCTCCAAGCCCGGCAGGACAAGGTTGCTGGATACTTCTTAAGCTAAACCAGAATATTCAGAAAAACAGCAAGGATTAAGGTTCAGTAAAAATAAGAAGTTAAGCCAGCACAGTATCTTACTTCTTATCCAACCATCCAGGTCCCCGGCTTCCACTGCTCCTTTCCTTCCTATTCTCTTTTCCCTTGGATACAGCCCATTCTAACATTCCCTCCCACTTTTCACTGCAATATCTACCTCTCTCAGGCTCACCAAATGCCTCCCACCATGCCCGAAGAAGACTCGGCGACACCATCCAGGACCTGATGACCCATCATTCCTCACAGGCTCTTACCTGGCAAGGGACCCTCCAATTTTTTACTCCGGAAGAAGCTCAGGTTTTCGAATTCCTTTTTATATTGTCTCGTCTCCTCACCATAATCCTCCTACAGGCAGCTAACAATGAATGCACTAATGAAGGTTTTTTTTCAGGTGAAACGGACTTGGGTTGTTGAGGGAGTCATCAATTCTACTATAATTGTCTTTATCAAAACCTATATTAATCCCCGACCTATTCTTCCCCCACTAAAGGCCCTGCAGACCCTGAACCTACTCCTTTGCCCACCCTCATCAACACAACTTTCCATCTACTCTCTAACATCAATCCCTCATTCTTTACATCCTGCTGGATTTGTCTGTCACTGGCTCGAACCCTCATCATAGCCACTCCACTCCCAACCTATTGGACCACTAACTTAACTCTTACCTATACCAGACCTCAACGCACCCTATACAACATCTCTCTCTTTAATACAGAAAACACTACCTGTTTAACAAATACCTCTCAAACACTACCTCAACTACCTCTGCACCTTACTACTGTGCACAATCTATAAATTTACCCCCTCCTTTAGCCTGCCCTCCACCGGATATTTTTCTCCTCTGTGGGACTACAGCCTACACCTGTGTCCCTGAGGACCTGTCACACTCGCTCTGCCTTTATGTCTTCCTAACCCCCAATCTTTATATCAGAACAGATGGAGAACTCAAATCCTCTCTTGGTCTTCTCAGGTCTCATCACAAAAGGGCCGCCCTTGTTCCCCTCTTAGTGGGTACGGGAGTTCTCACTGCAGTTGGGACAGGCATAGGAGGCATTTCCTCCTCTGTTCATTTCTACCACAAATTGTCTGCTGTATTTTCAGAAGACATCTCCATCATTAGCAATTCCCTTGAATCCCTTCAAAGGCAGGTAGACTCCTTAGCAGCAGTAGCCTTACAGAACCGGCATGCTTTAGATCTCTTGACAGCAGAAAAAGGAGGTACCTGTGTCTTTCTTGGGGAAGAATGCTGCTACTTTGTAAATGAATCAGGAATTGTCAAAGATCACATTAAATCCCTCCGGGACAGGACTGACCAAAGATGCCATAACCAGCCAGAAGGGGGGTATGCCATCTTTGGCTTACTTACTCCATGGATCCTCCCACTATTAGGCCCACTGGTATTTATTCTTTTAATTTTGCTCTTTGGCCCCTGTCTCATGCACTGTTTTACTAGTTTTTTGCAGAACAGAATGCAGGCGTTCGCCAACCAGAAGGTGGAAGAAATCTATCTGGCCTTGAATTCAGAACCTAGAGACACCTATGTCTCCGGAATCTTTGAGACCCCAGGTAGATGCCCCTGAGGACATCCCCTCTCAGCAGGAAGTAGTTACGGAAGACAGACCTTCGCCCCCTGACCTTGCCCGGACTCTCAATTTTTGTACTATTACCAAAAGCCTGGAATGATAGATCATCCCTTCCCCGAAATGGCGGGCGGAGTATGACGTAACCTGCAGCCCAGAAAGACCTGAGTGACTAACCAGGTACCCAATCCACACCTGCCAAATACCCTAAGCCCTTGCCCTATATGAACAATGCAGTAAGCCACCAATCAGTGTGCGACGAGTACACTAAGCTCCCACCCCTTCCGATCCCGCCCCTCGAAAGGCGTGCCCACCCCTGCAAGTGCTGATGTCCTCCCCTTGCGAGACAGCATGGCCGATCCTTCTCCTCTAATAAAGCCTGTAGTCCTGGTTTTTGGCCTCTGTCTGATCTTTCAATATCTCGATGGTATAATTATATAAAATATAAATTTTCTTCTGAGCTCCTGTGTGAGTTTCTCAAATCTTATGCAATAAACACATATTACTTTTATTATTAGAAAAAGGAAACAAGCCAAAACCGGTTTGGCTCAGTGGATAGAGCGTCAGCCTGTGGACTCAAGGGTCCCGGGTTTGATTCCAGTCATGGGCATGTACCTGAGTTGTGGGCACATCCCCAGTGGGAGATGTGCAGGAGGCAGCTGATCGATGTTTCTCTCTCATCGATGTTTCTAACTCTCTATCTCTCTCCCTTCCTCTCTGTAAAAAATCAATAAAATATATTTTTTAAAAAAAAAGAAAAAGGAAGCAAAAAAAATGGGGTCATCCATGGGATCTTCTTATTCTAACTCATTATACATTTGCCTTGAAGTTTCCTGAAGATCCTAAATCTCTCGCTTCCTGAATGGAGACGAGCGTATTCCTGTCGGTAAAAGGCTGTGTCGAAGCCTTCCTAGGGCTTTTTAAACTTTCATTTCCCTGGGGAGGCTAATAAATCCAGGCAGAAACCGTGCCATTGCTGAAAACAAGAGTTTTTGCAAGTTTCTATGACAGAAAGCAAGGGGGAAATGCTGGAGTGTAAGATACCCCCATCCCACACACACACACTCCGCAAGGAAAAGGTGTTAATTACATACCTTCAAATCAGATTCCACGGATCCTCTGGAAGTAAGTGGTTCTTGGGGAAAACCTGAAAACAAAGTTTTAAAGAAATTAGGATCCTCTCTGTGCTCCAAATTTCAAGAAAGCTCCCATTTACACGGGAGGAAAACTTCAGACTTACTTACCGCTGAGTCTGTAATGAATACTGGCCCCTCAGGTATAATATTAATTTCCTGCTGATGTCATCGCTGCCTTTTCCCTGCCCCATTCCCTTTGCTGGCATTAGGATAACCTTGATCAACAGCACCGCCTAAAGGCAGAGGCACACTATAAAGCTCAGGATTTAAGTGTTCTAGCATTTTCTTTGTCTTAAAAAAAAAAAGTGCATTTTTCCAACCACCTCCTTCCCCAAATTCACTTAAACTTTAAAATAAACCCCAGCCCTAACCGGTTTGGCTCAGTGGATAGAGCGTCGGCCTGTGGACTGAAGGGTCCCAGGTTTGATTCCTGTCAAGGGCATGTACCTTGGTTGTGGGCACATCCCCAGTAGGTGGTGTACAGGAGGCAGCTGAATCGATGTTTCTCTCTCATGGATGTTTCTAACTCTCTATCCCTCTCCTTTCCTCTCTGTAAAAAAAAATCAATAAAATATATTTTTTAAAAAATAAAATAAAATATAAAACCCAGAATCTCATGAGTAGTAGTCACCCATATTAATCTTTTCTCAGCAGCTCCATTTACAAATTAACAACAACAACAAATTTTTAAGCAAAAAGGAAGAAGAGAAAGAGGAGGAGGTGGAGGAGGAGGAGCTGAGAGATAAGCCAATTTGAGGTATTTGCAAAGAAGTCAAGTAACAGTAGACAAAACGGATACAGTCTCTGCCCTCAGAGTGCATTCAGTCCATCAGGAAAGAGAATTTTAAGACATTATTTCTAAGAACAAAAACAATACCTAACACTCACCAGTATATCACTATATGTCAAGCATGCTTTGTTCACTAAGTCATCCAATGACCCCTTTTTTAAGACATGAAAACTCAGACATAGAAAGGTTAGGTAATTTGCCCAAGGTCACACAACAAGCTAGTGGGAAACCCAAACCTCAAACCAGCAGTTTTGGCTCTAAATCACTACATGATAATTCAAATGTTGCCAAGTTCTGGGAAGAAGTCCAGAATCTTGAAAAGATACTTCATCTCTGAAAATAAGTAAAATTTATTATGCTTTACTAGAGGCCCAGTGCACAAGAATTTGTGCACTTGGGGGGGTTCCTCATCCCATCCTGTGCCCTCTCACAGTCTAGGACCCCTCAGGGGATGTCCACCTGCTGGCTTAGGCCCGCTTCTCGGGGGATTGGGCCTAAGCTGGCAGTCAGACATCCCTCTGGAAGCCCAGAAGCCCTTGGGGCATGTCCACTTGCCAGCGGGAGCAGACCTAAGCTGCAGTCGGACATCCTTAGCACTGCTGAGGAGGCAGGAGAGGCTCCCGCCAACACTGCTGTGCTGGCAGCCGTCAGCCTGGCTTGTGGCTGAGCAGAACTCCTCCCATGTGAGAGCACCCTGACCACCAGAGGGCAGCTCCTGCGTTGAGCATCTGCCCCCTGGTGGTCAGTGTGTGTCATAGTGACCAGTCATTCCCAGTCCT